TAAAATCTTAATGAAATTTAAAATTTTTTTCCAATGAAGTTTTGCTTTTGAAGAAATCTTTTCATTATGTGATAGCTCATGGGCTGAGAAATAGTTATTAGGCTTTTTTTGTTCCCTTGATCGAATGAGATGTTTCTGTTCTAAAAGAGTATCAATATGAATCATAGGTCTAAAGTGAGAAAATTCCTTCAAATTTGAAATATGTGTCATACTGGAAGATGCACCTGCAGAGCATTACTCAACCATCTATTCATATATGCTAGCATTCTGCCAACAACATATAGGATCGATTTAAAAAATGAACTCGAAAAATGGCATCGTATATAATATGTTGATAAGACACTTAGTGATCCTAAGGTGATTGAATATGCTTTTGCTCAGTTTATTACATTAAAATGTTCAAATAAATTCTTAATAGAAAAATTACCGAACCGGTGATGTAATGCAGATCATTGAAACAGTTTTCTCTTGATTGACAACTCCTCATCTGCAAGATAAATTCAAGAAAACTAAGTTTTTAAACCTTTTAATATCATTATGCATGATAAAAACAGATGAATCTATCAATAAGAAAATACTGTTCAATTGAAGCGAATGTTTATCTAGCAATTTTTGGAATATGGTTTCAAAAACGATTTAAAGTTGTTGCACCATGGATCTAGAAAGCAGGATTAAAACGAAGGTCTTATTTCAGTTCAATAAATCACCGAAATTCTTTTCGTGGCATGAAAATAAACTTATGCATTTACCTTCTTTAGAAAATTCTTAATTTGAAAGTAGAGCTTTATAAGAGCAAGGCGTTCATTAATTTTCTTTCCATATTTATCAACTTTTTCAGCATACTAATTTAAAAGACCTTTTTCTATGTATCTTCTTTTGTTTTCTTCAATTTATCAGATAAGTTTTCATGTTATCTTTCATAGTCACATGGCATAAATTTCAGTTTGAGTAAGACTATCATTGTGAGAGTATTCCGTCTAACGACTCGAGAAAACGAGTGTTAAGATGACTCTGTCTCTCTTCATCTTACTGTCCAATGTTGACTTTCGTAATCAAGTCAATCCAAAGATCATCTAGATGTATTTCTCAGTCCGTAAGATAACTCACATTCTTATTACTCAAATTATGAAAACTATTTAATAATTTAGTTTAATCCAGAAGTTATTTTAGAAATCGTCGAATTCTACGTATAAGCACTTGTTGATATTATGAACTACAAATGTGAAACATTTTAGAATTTCACGATACTTGGTCTATGAAGAGCAAGATTATATGAATCCGAGCTTTTTGTTTATCTTCACTCTGACTTAAATCGTGTTACATTGACATCTTCTCACTTTATACTAATTTGAATTTATAGTTTTTTATTTGTTTTATCATTCTATGGATGTTGATGTGCTTTTAACCCATCCACATACCCATATTCTGACAAACGCTCTTTGATGAGAATATACGTCGGATTTCAACCGAAAACTAAGCATATAAACATGCCTGAACGTTACAATAAATATTTGTCTCAAAAAAATCAAGTCCACCACTTTAACATCCATCGTAGTAGCAAAATGAGTCTCTATTGCATGATGATGTTGTAAGAGCATCTGTTGATAATCTGACAAATCGAAATATATCAGAGTTGCCATTTAGCAAAATTGCCATTTTCAAAATCATCATTAATTAGCTCTTTATTGAATTACTAACTCTGCTAAATCATTCTAAGTAATAATATCAATGCAAGAGTGTACAAAGAAAAAGAAAGTCTAAAAGAATTCATCAGAAAAAAAAGGATTAAGACTGACAATCATATCCAGTACAGCGCGGACAATCAATTGAATAACATTTTGTCCAATAACTATTACATTGTCCAAAGCAATCTGGCCACATTGTTCTACAAAATCCGCTAAGACATGTTGTTATCATTTGATTACAATCACCTTCATTCTTACATGAACTCGGAGATGGATCCGGTAAAGTGCAGCGATTATCAACACATTTACCACAAGAATATAAAAGACAATCAGTATAATTGTTGCAATAGGCACCACATTGTGTATAGTTCGATGAAAATGAATGTTTGTCTTGTTGTTGTTGTTCAATGAATGATTGAGGTAACGATATTTTCCATAATTCTTGATGTTCATAGTATACAACAACAACGAACAAAGTTTCATTAGTAACACCAAGACGTGCTACACGACCTTGTGCTACAGATGTATTGAATCTCCAAACTGGTTCATTTGACGATGGTAAACGACCAATAATAAAATAATCTTGTGCAGTCAAATGTAAACGATCACATGTACGAACAGTAGTAGTTACTGGATAATTTACATAGAAATTACTATTCGGTACACTGACATTCCACAATAATTGTCCCTTATCACCATCCCATAACGATAATATTTGTCGAAACGTAAAATCACCTTAAAAGTCTTCAAATCATATTAAAACTTAATATACGAAACTGATTTCTTACCAAGATAATTAATATTAATAATAGTTGTATCATTAATGGAACTATCGACACGTTGATCATATGTGGCTGGTCTTGCTCTTAAAAATCTCAATGTACCATTTTCTCCATTGAATGCCATTAATGTTCGTCCTGACAAATAAACAATACCATCATCATTTGCTGATGACAAAGGATGACCAATAGATAACCAATGTTCGGCCGTATATAACCAATTTTGATACAATAATTTTCCAGTAAGAAGATCAATTCCCATCAAAGAATTATTTCCATAGCCAATCGGATAAATATAACCAGGTATTGTCGATAGATATACACGTTTTATTTTTGAATTAATTGCTGGAGATGAAACAAATACATTATATGTACTGACTTTATCTGCCATAGTCAAATTAGTTGTCCACAACAATTGTCTCTTTGGCAATGATGCATCAAAACATTGTAATGTAAAGTTAGGTGTCTTCCACAAATAATCATAGGATACAGCACAAATGTGTGCAGATTGTAAATCTACTTGAAAATTAATATAATTTAATATAGTAAAATTATGTCGAACAGTTCCATTTATTGCATGTAAACCAATTAGATAAGATGAATTCGTTGATTGAGAATATTGAGCAAACCAGATAGATTCTAATTGTTTGTGAACTATAACAATCGATGATTGAGCTGTTAGATCATAAGTATAATTCCAAACAACTTGATTTTCAGGTGTTACACGAGCAATACGTAAACCAGCTATTGGATTATACTCATATTCCGACAGAATGACATCTCGATCATATGTTGTTACAGCAACAAATGGAGATTGATATGTTATATTCCGAATCCAATCGATTTTTGAATTTCGATGTTGAATATTAAATTTCTCTATAGTCAAATTTAATTGTGTGGTTTCGAAAAGACCATGTCTATGTCGAATTGATGAAGAAGTTTCTCTTTTTCCAGTATTAATTGAGCAGGATTTTTTAGATTCAATTACAGTTAATAAATATATTAGTAATAATATGAAATACGTGCATAACAATCGTTGCATTTTCAGTCTTTTACAATGTAAAGCTTACCTAGAAAAACAGAATGAATTATATGAGAACAAATTCAGCTGTGTTCTTTATTTTATTAAAAGAGAATGATAAGCTAAATATATCAACAAAAAAATCAACTTTAATGTTTTCTTTGACAGATTTGATGATTATATGATTCACCTATTGGCTATGTGAAAATATTTAAGAAGAAAAACTATCGAAAACGCTATTAGAAAATTAATGAAAGTTTTTTAATATTTTATCTATACTTCACAAGTTTGTAATCAACTCACACTAAATAATTAAAGAGTGTTTCTCACTGAGTTAATACGGCATGATTAGTATGATCCATAGTTACGAAATGGTCATTTAAACTCGATTACAGATCGATAGACAGATAGATACAGACTAATTTTGGTTTCTGGATCGTATCATTCTACTTTTGAGAACAAAGATCCGTGTTTACCGTTATCAAGAGAAGGAAAAATATTAAAATAATGACGTTTATTTGAAAGAAAAACTTGGAAATCACCAATAAATAGTATTTCTGTTATAATATGTTGGTATGGGTTTTATTTTATTTGGTTCACTATATTCAATTAAAATAGTTGTGAAATAAATAAAATTATCTTTAAAAACTGATCTCCGTTAAAATCATTCTCCTACTGAAAATATTTTCATGTCATTGAATGATATTGAATAAAAAATCTATGGAATAAAACAAAGAAATATTTTCTATATTTCACGAAAACTTATGCTTTCATTTTGGTCTTTTAAAAATAGCTTTTCTTTCTATGATAAAATTTCTTCGTTTTTTGTAAAAGAATATTTTACTATTATTGGTAAAGAATACAAATGGATTGATGTATTTATTTGATAAAATCAAAGAAAAAGGTTTAATCATCTTTGTATTATTTACGTGAGTTCATAAATCTATCCCATCATGTTAAAAAACTTCCATAATTCATTTTTGCATGTTAATGATGATAATCATGTTGTAATCTTCCAGACATTAACCATGGAAAATAATATTGAAGACCTATATATGGTAAATCATAACCCGAATGAGTATTTATTATTTGATAAACACGAATAAATATCCATAAACATATTGTAAATAAATGTTTTTCTTTGAAAAATATTGGTACGAACCAAACAGCAAGTTGATTTTGTAATAATGATTCCCATGGATTAGCTAAAACAAAAACAATACCAGTCGATTGTTTGAATAAATGATGTTTTCTATGAATATGTTTATATAACCAACGTGTATGAAATAAATAATGTATCCAAAAAAATAAAAAATCTTCACTGAATATAAATAGAATTAATTGCCATATTATTATAAATATTGATGGAATTGATGAACGTACAGATATATTACCAAAATAATTTAATAAATTATATAATAATGGTAAGATAAATATCAATGATAATTGATGTTTTATTGTTCCAATTTTCATTTGATAAATAATATCAGATTGAAAACGAAGTTTTGGTTTATGTTATTGTATTCGATATTTATCAATTGACGGAATATCATTATATTCAATATAAATAAGAAATAAATTATATAACCAAAATACACTTTGAAATGTAATATAAATACAAATAGTAAATGTTAACCATTCAGATCAATAAAAATATTTATCACATATATAACTAAAAAATGTTAATGAGGTTATTACAATCTCTGATGTTTTTGTAACATTCATTCTTTGCCTTTATTATATTAATAATGTCTTTAGAATATTTTTATATATTTATCTTGTGTTTGCATTATTATTTCGACAATATCACATGTCTATTTTACCTCTACAAGTTAACATAAATAATAGCAATACTCGAAATAATTGTAATTTGGTTTTATTGTAGTGGTTCATAGCTATGCGACAGATATCAAAAAAAATTTTTTTTTAATCTTTATTTGAATATGATTTCATTCAATTGAGATTGAGTTCTAAATTGAATTTTCCATCTTGATATACTCTTCTGAAAACAATGCTTTACTTTTTGAGTGAGGGCGTGGATGTGGGTGTGGGGTGTTGTGATAAATAAAGTTGGTCTGTGAGCGACAAAGAAAAAACAGCTCGGGGAAATTTTTTGGAGAAAACTTCCGCGGGGAGGGATTTTTTATTTTTTGGAAGATTCTGCACCCCGGATCAGGATACACATAAATTTCATGCTGATTCAATTTTGAATGACCCAAATAATTTTTCTTGCCACCAAACACCTGAAAATTATAACTATTCTCATAAAAACAACTGCCATCATCATGATCAATAGGATAAAAAGAGTTGTAATTATTGACAAGTGTATTGTGATGAATATAACTTTTATGTTGCCAAAGTGAAGGTAAGCCTCGTTGAACAGCATCGCTTAAAAACGGTTGTCGATCCCATGTATTGATGAGTCTATGATCGCTTGTTTCTCGAACAGTATTGAATATGATATTCCAGCTAAGAGTATTAATTCCATAAAATCCATCATTGACATTAATTGCTACTCGTGGTATATTGAACATTAAATTACCGATAACAGATATCAGTATAGATGATGATTGTTTGACATAAATGCCGGTTTCATGTATTAGATTTGATTTAATAAGCGTATTAGCAGGCTGACTCACCACACTAAAACCATCGATTCCATTCGTACTACCAACAAGGATAATTGCAGAGTCGGCTAACCATACGAATTCATTTAAAGTGATCGAAGTAGCGTCATTGTAATCAATTAAAGCTACACCATTGCTTCCTGGTTCCATGAATAAATTACGTGTAATAGTTATATTTCTCGTATTTGTTAAATAGATATTTCCACCTCGATGAACAGTCCAATCATCACCACCTGGTACCATATAATCTCTCATATAAATATTACTGGTTTGTGTTAATGTTAAACCTTGAATCAGTACATTGTGAATAGAATCTTGAATACTATTGCCACTAATACATATTAGACATGGAATTTGACTAGCAAGAAAAATTTGAGGCATACTTTCGTTTGGCATAAAATAGAGTGTACGAATATCTTTGTCTAAAAACCATTCGTTTGATAAATCAAGCTCTTCAAAAATATTTGCAACGTAAAATGCACCTCCATTTCCCGAACCACGTACTTCTTGAAAATCTCCTCGACTGAATATGGTAGTATTTTGTGTACTATTGATCGATGCTATTTCAAACATCCAACTATCCCAATAACCAGAGTGAAAAGCATGCACCAAACCAGTCGTAGGCTTACTCCAGTTGCCAATATGAGGTAATGCTCCATTGTTGACGATAAGACCACGAGGAACAACATAATTATTACCCTGAGGTGGTGAAGCTGTACTCCAAAAATTAGTAGATGGATTAAAAACAGAAGCACCTCCACCTAAACCAAGTTGATAGTTGGTAAATAGTGTACTGTTTTTATAAGGTTCTTCTACATGAATTTCCACACTTTCGTTAAAAATCGGTGGAAGCCAATTATGTGCATCGAAAGAAAAACCTGGATCTTTTGCATATAAACCTTGAGTAGAAGGATCACCATTCGAACATTTAGCAACGATCGCTCTTTAACCATCAATATATAATTCATTGAATTGTTCTAGTTTGACAGATGATGGTATTTGAGCTTTCATAATTTTACGACCATCTTTTGTTGTGACGTGAACTTACCATTGTAAGTTTAATAATGTACCACCACTTAATATAACCTGTTCATCCTGATAGTTTTCAATCACAAGATTACTGTCGTTACTTGTCAATGCTATTGCACTAATTTGACTACTTGTTGTGGTAGCATTTGTACCTAAATAGTAAGTTCGTCCAAGTATGCTAATGCATAATGTTTTATCACTACCATGAACAATTCGTAGAGTATGTGTAAAAGATACAGCTACTTGGATAGTTTTCAGTGGTCTTTCGAATGTTCCATCAAACAAATAATTTCCTTTTAAATCGTACACAAATATTGTATGATGATAAGCTCTTTTTTTCATTTCTGGTACAGTCTTGAACGGTTTAATCAAATTTGACGGTTGATAAGCAATGTAGGACGTATCGTTGCATTGATTCATTTGAAAAGCACTCTGGCTCAGTTATGTCTAATTATTTTTCGAGGATGTAGGCAAAATATAGGCAGCCATTTCAATAGTGAAGGCTCGAAGAGCATAATCATATTCACACTTGATATTTGGATTATCGACTTGACCGTGACGAGGATGACGTAGATCACTTTCAGTTAAGCTTACTAAAGTACGAATGCTATTTGAAGTATTCACAAAAGATGATCTCAGTGATAGTGTTATAAGAAAAGCATGCATCTTTCAATCTGTTGTTTCTGTTAACGTAGATAAAAAAAAGCAACACGTATATTTATTCTTTGTTTAATAAACGACCTTCTGAAATATGTGTGTATCTACGATAACACACCTTACATTTGTTTCTGCATAGATAAGATGACGCACACTAAATTCAACATTCAAGTTTGTTTTTGTTTTATCGATGATCTATTTAAGCCAAAACATCATTCATTAAAGACTCGACTTCTCGATACAACAGTTAATTATTTAATTAAAACCAAACTTAATTAACATAAACGTAAGGATGTGTGAATGCGGATGAAAAGAAGAACCATATCCACAGATTCACATCTGACAATAATTAGTTTTTCAACTTATTAATATTTCAAATAATTATGCTCTTTTTTCATGTAATAAAATCAAGAAATAACTCGAGTGAATTATGAAGAAGTCATTCTCTTGTCGATATCCTATTGAAGAAACAAAGTAAAAGAAATTCAAAGATATGCGATGCAAAAATTTATATTTAGGATAGTCTAGATTAATATATTTTAAATTTATAGTTGTTAAAGTTTAAGCTCGTGTCAACTTTGGTTACCGAGAAAGTAGTTTAAAGTAGAATTAGGACTTTTTCTCCTTCAATCACTGAAATATAAGATAACTAAATATTGGTAGAACAAATATTTCATTTGATTTTTTATATTGATTAATACATATATTAAATGATATTTTAAGTTTATATCCGTAAATGAGTAAGGAACTCTATTTGTACAGTTTTAAAGAATCGTTTCACTTGAACTTTTGTTTTATTCTGTTTGGTTAATGTTTCCACATATTGCACAATTCAATTCAATCATGACATCGTTTTTTTGAAATTGTTTCATGTTTTCATGGGCTAAAAGGTATGTACTCCAACAAGAAATTTACAAAGTTATCTTGTGTGTAAACTTGCTTGGCATGATATTGTCGAATAGTTAAAAAAACTTTCAAAAACTTGTATTCTTCTTCATAATAAGCATCATACAAAAATTGTCATTATTACAAAATCGATTTTCATTCGATATCGATTATCAAAACAGTTATTTCATGTCATTTCCAAGAATTAATCCTAAATCAATACGACTGCAACAGTCACTTACATGTCTAAAAACATTCTACACTTGCAAGAGAAGATGAATCACTTTTGCATCACCAAACTTCACTGGAATATGTAAAGCAATACTACCATTCACTAATCGACAATTTCTAGTCTCTAAATAAGATGTTTCAAGAAATGCTCATGCTAATTCAAGATCATTTTCAAAATAAGCTTTATAGAGATAACTTAACTTATCATCATTGGCTATATCATTATCGAAAGTTATCAATTGTTAATGATTCATTGAATATTGATTAACGATATAAATATATTTATTAAAGAGAGAGTGCTATTATTTTTCATCGTTTTCTTCTTTTGCCTTCAGTCAATAAATTTAGAAGAAAAATAATTTCATATCTCTTCTGTGTGACATAATTTATATTAATAAATACCTTTTTCTTTTTTTTTTACTTTTTGAATATTATGTTTTTTTTTCTATGATAAGGTTATTCGTTTGAGACAGAACGATAGTAAAATAATAAATAAAAAGACTGATAAAATGATAACAATAGGTCACACTCTTATTATATATACAAACATTCATTTTCAATGAGTTTCGAAACCATAAAAGAGCATTGTTTTTGAATGATACCTTAGATATGTATATATCATCAATATAGATCAGGTATGTTCTTTCTCAGAGTTAACTATGGTCTCAATCAATATGAGTTCAAAATAAATATAGATACGTTCAATTTGAAAGTGATTTTTCTGTTTTTAATATATGTTATCATGTTTGTTTAAATATTTGTCTTTTATCTTTTCATTCCGTTTGAATCATATCATAATAATTGAGTGACTATTTAATTAAACATCTATTTTTCATACTTCTTACAGAATAAAGCGAAAAAAATGTATTCGATATATTATATTCATATTGCATTGATATTTACTTTAATTTATTGTTCTACATCAATAATGATTCATTTTTATCATGAAAATCTATTTGAATTATCGAATGAAAATTTAACTGTTCAATTTAATTTATCTAATGGACAAATAACATCATTTAATTATAAATCACAATTAATAACAATAGAAAATGAAACAAGTTTTATTTTTATCAATAATATTCGAATTGATTGTTCAAAATTAATAAATTTCAAAGAAGATGTAAATTCAATTAATTTTACTTATTCTTGTTTAAATGAAACAAATTCTCAACTAACTATAATCTATACATTAAAATTTCAATGGGAATTTCTACAAAAAAAAATTTATTTTGAAAATATTGATAATAAAAATATAACATCAATTGAAACAACATTTACTCTGACGAATAAAATAATTCCATCTGTTTCGATTATTCGAAATCGACAAGATTTAAATAAAGAACATACTATTTTCTTACGAACTAAATTAAATACATTAGGAATATTTGCTACATGGCAACACCCATTTGGTCATTATTCTATTACATCAAATAATCAAACAGTAATAAGCTCATATCAAATAGGAATAAATATATCTTATTTAAGTGAAGGTTTTCTTATTGGTTTTTATCAATTATCTTCATATTGGCATAATAATGATATTAATTATGGTGAAAGAGAAGCTTATGAAAAAGCAACAAGTTTTTTCTATCCTGTAGCACAACGTAAACAATCAATAAAACATGCAGTGGGTTGGGATAGTAATGATTATCAAATCGACATCTCAACATCACATGGTATTGATCAATATAAACGTTTAATTGATCGTTGTGCACAACTTGGAATAAATAGTCTAACATTTGCACCATCAAATACAAATGTATCAAATCGTCAAGAGGCCACTGACGATTGGGGCTGGGAATCTGTTTTATGGTTATCATTAGGTGAGAAAATTCGTTTAGAACAATGGAAACCTTATCATGATTCAATACCTTTAACAATTCAACAAATGTTAGATTATGCACAATTAAAACAAATAAAATTAGTTCCATATGTTTATCCACCATTAGGTTATCGATCGAAAGGAAAAGATCAAGCTTGGCTATTTCCAAGTTCACATTGTAAAAATGTTTGTGCATCTCTAGCAAGTATAGAATTTCAACAATATTTTTTACAATTATTAATTGATTTTGCACAAATTACAGGTAATACATCTTTATTTAGAAATTAATATTTTGAATATTTAAATAATTAGGTATTGGTGGATATGCATGGGATTATAATTTTTATTATGATACTGGAAATACAGAATATAGTCAATGGCGTGGTTGGCAATGGATTCGTACCGAATTACTCATTGCATTACCATATTTAATTATGGATCATCGTTATGCATCACAATATGATGGTCCTTGGTCATGGAATACTTTAAATGGTTATACATCACCTTTATTAAGTGATGAAAATCCTGAAACATATCCAATATTATATCCATCTTTACATACTGATAAAATATCTGCAGATTTTATGCGTCAAGGAAATGTGGAACTACGTTTGGAACATTTCGCATCAATGAATTGTATTCCTGGTTTTATTGGACATCAAACAGAACGTTATTCATCCAATGGAAGTTTACCATGGATAGATAATAATTTAAGAGATTTTGATTTAATAGGTTTTTCATATTCATTATTATCGAATATAGCAACAGCTGGTTTAAATCTTATTCATACATATATACCAGCACGTGATTTACAAGAATTTTATTTATTACCTGAAAAGTTTTTAGAATTTTGGTCTTATTGGTTAAAATGGACAGATGAACATATTGAAGAAATATATAATAGTATACCATTTAATATCGAACAAGACTGGTCTTTAATGAAATCAAATGGTTTTGATGGATATTTATTTTTATTTAATCCATATTATAAACAAGTTTATAGAAAAATTTTATTTGATGGAAAATTAAATCTTAAAAATCCCCAAGAACAAGGTTATTGGTTATTAAAAGAAATTTATCCACAAGAAAGATTTATATTATTTATAGAATATAATCAAACCAATGAATTTTTATTAGATGGTCAATCTGTTACAATTTATCAATTAATATTTATTTCAATAATTGATCAACCAATTCTTATTGGCATTAGTGGACAAGCTTTTTTAACAAATAAAAATATATTAATTATTGATGGAGTTTATGGTGAAGCTGGTACACAAACAAATAATCCTATATCTATTATTTTACCAAATCAAGATCTGATATTTAATGTATTATTAAATGGAATAGAAAAACGATTTAAACAAAATAAACAGATTATTATTTTAATTGATCCTTTATCATTTTCTGGTTTATATTTACCACGTTCAGCAGAAATTCTTAATAATACAATAATGATTAGTGATTTATTATTGAAACAATTAGTGAAACGTCAATTAGAATATCCTATTCAATGGACTGAAAAAGAATTAAATGATGCATCATGGTTAGGACCACATCGTCTTTTGTTATTTATATGTATTTTAAATCCAAATGATCAATGGAATATAACTGCTCAAATCAATAATAATTCAATTATTGTACATAAAAGTTATAATACACGTGATCATTATTATCAACAACGATTTATAGGATTCTACTTAGATTTAACAAATATTGTTATACAACCCAATGTTCAATATTA